CGAGCGGATGCTCAACCCCTCCCACCCCCCCGGGCCTTTCCGCATCGGCGAACACACGGCTCCCAACCGTCGGTGCCCTCCTCTAGGAGATGCCCGACATAATCCTGCAGGCGGCTGACACAAAGGGACTTTCCGTCCCTGTCCTTCCCCCGCCCAGATCAGATGATTTAGTGGGAAGGTTTGGCTCCACCCCGGCTTGCCGCCCTGACCCCATCTGGCCTCCTTTCCCAGCAGTGACGTCCTACTGGAACGAGGCTGCAGCCGGACATGGTAAGCTGAGGGCGCCCGTCTCCACCTTCGTACCCATCACCAGAGTGGAGGGGTTTACTGAGCGGAATTTTCTCTCGGTGCCCCCACGGAGCCAAGCCTGGCGGAAGCACTCGTAGCAAAAGTGTCCAGGTTGGACCAACGTACTGTCCCTCCAGGGAGACACGACCAGACGGTGACGTCGCTCTCCAATCGAGCCCACCAGTGTGCTTTCCAGGCGGCTGCAGCGAACAACAATGTCACCCTGCTGGCCTACAGCATTTCCAAAAGGCTGGAGGACACAGACCTGCTTGAAGAGAAGAGGAGCTCGCTCTGCAAAGCGTCTGATGTCATCCTGAACCTGTGCGCCCCCTCTGCGGTCTGCCCGTCTTGCATCGATGCCTGGATGACGATGATCCAGAGGTCCACCTGGCGCCGACTCTACCCATCCATGCCGGAGAAGCTGCAGAAGGACCTGTTGGAGGGCCCCATCACGACGGACGCACTGTTCGGGGCCAATTTCAAGGCCATGCTTGAAAAGTCGAAGAAGTCGAAAGACGTGTCGGAAACTGTGCGCCACCTGATCAAGCCGTAGAAACTTTTGGGTACGATGTCCTCAGCTCACGCTGTGGTTCCGCTGGGCTTACTCCACATGAGAGTCCTTCAAAGATGGTTTGCCCACCTGCGCATAGATCCGGTGCGTCAGAAGAGGCGGATGATCTCTGTGCCCCCCTCCGTGGGAACCGACCTGAATCACTGGGGAAACCCTCTAACTCTGTCAGAGGGAGTTCCTATCAGCAGGCCTACGTCACACATCTTGGTTTTCACAGACGCGTCCCTGTCAGGCTGGGGAGGAACGTGCCTGTCTCAGGCGGTGGGGGTGCTGTGGCCAGCTCACACATCAGCTCATATAAACGTTTTGGAATGTCTAACAGTTTGGAATGTGATTCAGCATTTTGCTCCCCTGTTGAGGAATCAACATGGTCTGGTCCACACAGACAACAAAGTGACTGCAGCTTACATAAACCAGCAGGGAGGCGTGCGCTCAGACCAACTGTTACGCATTGCGAAACAGCTGCTGTGTTGGGCACACAAAAACCTGCTCTCCATCAGAGCAGTGTACATCCCCGGCATCCTGAACAGAGGAGCGGACATAATTTCCAGGAGCGGTCCTCGCCACGGAGACTGGAGCCTCCATCTCAAGCTGATTTCTCGAATTTGGAGCAGGTTCGGCCGAGCAGCAGAGGATCTGTTCGCCACACAGGAGAACACCCAGTGTCAATTATGATTCTCACTGAGACCATGGGACGACTCATTATTAGGAGTGGATGCTTTTGCCCACAGCCTGTGGCCAAAAATGATCCTTTACGCGTTTCCTCCAGTCCAGTCCCACAGTTTCTGAACTGAGTCCGTGAGGAAGAACTGTCAGCCATTCTTGTAGCACCCGAGCGCGTGAGCACCCCGTGGTTCCCAAACCTGCAACGTCTGTTATCGGGCCGGCCGTGGAAACTGCTGTGGAGAAACTATGCTCTCCTCCAGGCGGGAGGAGCAATCAGGAGTCACTTAGAAATAAGCCAGCACCTTTGGGTCTAGCCACTGAGCGGATCCACTTAGAGAAAACGGGTCTCTCTCAGGAAGTGGTGCGCACAATCTAAGACTCACGTGCTGCTTCCACCACAGTGCTGTACACATCAAAGTGGACAGCTTTTCAGCGCTGGTACATGAAAAAATGTGTAGAGGCCATCTCATGTCCACTAGGTGGCGTGTTGTCCTTTCTGCATCAGCTGATGGACAGAAATTTAGCTTTCAGCACAATTAAAACTTATGCTGCAGCTATTTCTTCCTGTCACGAGGACTTCGTAGACAGAACAGTTTTTAATCACCCGCTGATGAAGCATTTCCTAAAAGGTGTACGGAGACACAGACCGGCGTCACGCCCACTAGCTCTACAGTGGGACCTAACGATGGTTCTGCGAGCTCTGATCAAAGCTCCTTTCGAGACTTTAGATCAGGTGTCACTTAAATTTCTGTCACTTAAAACAGCCCTGCTGTTGGCTTTGACATCAGTAAAGAGAGTGAGCAATTTATCTGCGCTCTCTGCTGCCCCCTCATGCCTCAGGATTCAAGCTAATGGCAGCTCAGCTGCGCTGAGACCTAACCCAGCTTTCATACCAAAAAACATCACAAGTTCATTTAAATCGAGAATGATAACATTGGAGGGGTTTTATCCCCCCCCCCCCTCACAAATCAGAGGAGGAAGCATCAATTCATCTCCTCTGTCCTGTGCGCGCGCTGACATGTTACATAGCATGCGCGGCTCCTCTGCGACAGACTCAGCGTCTATTTGTACATTATAGGGACATCTCTGCAGACCACCCATTATCCACTCAGCGCCTTTCACACTGGCTGTGTGAGGCCATTTCTGAAGCTTACAGGGCATCAGGATTGGAGCCTCCAGAGAATCTCGGAGCTCATTCCACCAGAGGAATTGCATCTTCTACAGCTTTGCATGGAGGGATGACAGTGGAGGACATTTGTACGGCGGCCGCTTGGGCATCGCCTTGTTCACTTATTCACTTCTATCTGCGTGATGTTTCTGCTTTCTCCATGACCCATTCTGTTCTCAGTGTTCTAACAGAATGAATTTTACTTGTTTCATGGAATTTCGTTTTAAACTCACATCTGACTGCATGCAATTACAGTGCGAGATATTTATTATCAGTCACAAGTTCAAAACTGCTGCTTTTATTGTTACTAATCAGTTCATGACTACTGTTACCAATCAGTTCATTTGATTACTAATCAGTTCAATTGTTATTAATCAGTTCAGATTGAAGAGCTGTTGACCTGCTCTGCTCACTGTTACACGGTTACAATTTGTAACCTCTGTTCTTTTCCATTCTCACCATTTTCAGCCTTCCCTTTTTTCCCGTCGGAAACCTTTTCTCTCCGGGGCGCTCCTGTGCATGGAACGCGTAATTACGCAGCACGTAATTACGCACACAGAAGGCTGAGTGATTAAATGTTTTTTGGTGCAAGCGGGCGCTTCATATTGTGTCTGAATGGACCCAGTGAGGCATAGACTACATCCTGCTTAAAGGGCGAAACCTATATGAAATAGAACGTTGATTACGTACTGTAACCACAGATTCTATGAGTATAGGGGCAGCCCTTTAAGCTCTGGGCCTCACTGGTTCCTAAATGGCTGAAGAAAAAAAGCTATTTGGGAGCCGACTGCCCGTCTCACCATAATTTATACGGACCGGGGGTGAGACCCACACAGCGGGTGGGCGTGGACTAAAGTTTTCAGTGCTGCGCTGCACGTGAAGGGATAAACCCCCTAGCGATAGCCTTAAAGGGCTGCGCTTATACTCATAGAATCTGGGGTTACAGTACGTAACCAACGTTCTTTTTTTCCCCTCCATTCAGTCCACATTGCCCACGTGTGTGGTGAATAGAGAAAATCATCGGCGTGGTCTGGAGCAGACAGGTGAAAGCGCGCGGTCATATCTGCACATTTGAAGGATTAAACTGCATATTTTTCAACTCGCCTGACAAAGAGTGACTGTAAAACTAAAAAAATATATAATTTTAACAAGCTTCCTAATATCATATCAGAGCTATTCCTTCACATTTACGCTCATGCTCTTAAAAACATCTCCACCCCTAAAAGTTCAAAGTTATGAGTAATTTTATTAAAAAACACAAAAATATAATTAAAGTTTTGCATTACACTATTGAGAGCAAAAGAAATTATGGTATCTCATTCTCCTGGTTGATCCCCTCATTTTGATCAAGTTTCTGTGCCCTGGATTTTCCTGTTTTGCCTAGACCATGTTGGACACCTGGCAAGCTTCTGATTTCTGGACACGGACCTTTTTTCTGAGCCTAACCTCCGAGTATTGCCTGAACCTCTTAAGTAGTTTGAAGCCTGTCTCCCTCTGTATGGCCCTTGCCTTTTCTCTGACTAACCCACTGAGCTCTAGACGGATCCAAACTAAGCAACAACCCCACTCAGGGCTCCGTTCTCGTGGTGACAGTACTCTCCATCCGCCCCAATCCTCTACCTGGGGAAGTGAGTTTAACCACTGGATCAAGTCCCTCGATCTGAGCTCTAAAAGTTAGTGGATTTTTTTTTTCTTTTTCGGAGCTCTGTTCAAGCTCACAGTCCTTCCACAGTCATGAACTCATCCTCTTCCTCCTCAGACTTTCCAGTGCCTTTCCACAGACGTGTGCCGACTTCCACCAGTCTTTGTAAAATAAAGCTGATTGAACGCGCTGTGTCTAGTTAAATTTTCAAGTCCTCTACTAAATTCATTACAGGGAAAGGTTAATGAAAGAGTGGGAAATGTTTGTAAGTGTGTGGGAAGGGTTTATAAAGCCTTAATATATATCTAAATAATAAAAAATAAAACACTGCTACTTCGTGGATTTTCACCTATTGTGGAGGTCTCTGGAACATAACCCCTGCAATAGGTGAGGGATCAATGTACTCTGCTGGATGTGCTGGCCTTTGTGGAGGTGAGGAGTGGGGAGACGCTCAACATATGACCCATGGATTATCTTGGACTAGAACTGTAACAATATGTTTGATAATGAGACGAGACAAGTAGACCTCGGCAAACTGGCAACTTCAAAAGTAGATCTTAATTCAAAATAGTTTGGGCATCCCTTTACATGTTGTATAAATTAATCCTCATCCCTTGAACAATGAACATTAGCCAGCAAAGTTGTTCAGTGTGCACATAGCCAACCTGTGATTGTTTGAAGACATCCCTGGCGATGGCATCAAGGTTTCCCAGTTCTTTGATGGAGGAGACGAATTCTGAGACAGCTTTGATCACAACTTCACATGGTGGCAGCACCAACTGATGGGCTCGCACCTGACATGGCAGAAAGACAAATACGGAGTTTAGAGAAGAGTAACAGTGTACCAAATATTATGAGGTGCATTAAAAAGGCTACTAGACAACCCCTATGTCTGTTTGACATTTTGTTTGTGGCTAAAAAAAAGATATTATTCATTTAATGATAACATGGTACTCCGGTTTCCTCCCACAGACATGCATGTTAGGCTGACTGGTAACCAAACTGTTCCTACATGAAAGTGTGAATGGTTGTTTGTCTCATTTGTCTTTAAGTGCGTCTCTATGATGGACTGGAGACCTGTCCAGGTGTCCTCCAACTCTCACATAGTGACTGCTGGACATGGGTATCAGTGACCCCCACGACCCGGAATGGAAAAAGTGGGTAAAGATAATGGATGAATGATGAAAATTATATTGTGGCAAAACTAAATCATCGATTCATATCGTCATCTTTAAAATATACTTTTATTTTGAAATTCCCAAGGCAAGTCTGTGTCACCATTTCCGTGCACAGCAGTGCTCTGTGGCCACCTCAGCAACATGACAGACGAGGCAGAAAACACAGATACTGAAATTCACTCTCCTGCTGGATTTAAATAAACTCTGTGGAAATATTTTGGATTCAGACAGAAGGGCGGCTCAACAGACAAAACTGAAAAAAAAAAGAGAAAAGAGCAGTACCACTTTCAGCCACTTGATGGCAGCAGACTAGTAATAGCGGTATGGCATGTCATTGTATCATGTAATAGGTAAATGTGGCTATAATGACAAATTCATAAAAGTTCAAGACAAAAACAACTGGACTTTATTTATTATACTTTATAGATTTTTTTTTCTTGAACTTTTTTTGAATTTACAATGTCCTGGATGACTGAGAATCTTCACCAGCTATTAATGACTCAATTGGCCTGCCATAGCCTCCTCACTTTTATTCCGCTCACTGCTTGGAACCATCAAACCAGCTGCACCGCCCCGACAAAATGCAGCTGACTTGACCATTAAAGTGCATTTATTAATCAAATGTTAGACTGAGACACACCTTTGCTCTAATTTCGAACAAACAATTTTTTTTTAGGTGGCTATCTTGTTAAATTCTAAAGAAATGCAGCGGCTCGTCCACTGCATGTGCACGCTTCGCAGAATTGAGGCAGCAAAACCATTTTTGAATTTAAGCTGATTTGACCATTAAAGTGCATTTTTAAGGAATAGTTCAGCTGAGACACACCTTTGCTATAATTTTGAGCAAAGACATTGTTTTTAGGTGGCTATCCTGATAAATTTGCACAGTGACTCGTCACGTGCACACATCTACTTCCATGTATCAGCTTTTGAAATACAGCTGATTTGACCATCAAAGTGCATTTATTAAGCAAACAATACACTGAAACACACATTTACTATAATTTCGAGCAAACAAGAAATTGTTTTTAGGCGTTTATCTTGTTAAATTTCAAAGAAACGCGAAGGCTTATCCCTCTGCGCGTGCCTGCCGCTTCCGTGAATCGAGATTGGAGATACAGCTGATTTGACTGTCAAAGTATATTTATTATAAGGCTGCAACAAGGAATCGATAAAATTCGATGATTAAAAGCGTTGGCAACGAATTTCATTATCGATTTGTTGTGTCACGCGATTATGCGTCTCTCACGGCGCTGCAGAGTCGTTTTGTTCACCTGCAGTTCATTGTCAATGCTGATTGACTGAATAAAGTAAATAAAAAACTCTGCAGTACGAGTTGAACAGAGCGAGGAGGAAGCAGAGCAGAGACTGTTTGCAAATGAAATTAAGTAAATTTTACAAATGACTGACGCAGAGAAAACTGTTTGACTCAAGTTCTCCAAAGTGCGGGAGCTCTTCACAAAGATAAAAACTGAAACATGCAGCTTTGAAAAGTGATGACACGACACGGGAGAACCACGGAGATGAAACACAAACATGTCAGAGTCACGAGGAGGAGGAAGGAGCTGATACAACTCTTCATGTGTTGCAGGTGAGTCTCTATAATATTCTACATTTGTTTCATTTCAAGAGAGAAAACGTAACGTCAGTCTCTCTGGAGCTGAAGCTGCTGCTTGTTATCTGATTAATGACGGTGATAGAGAACGTGTATTTAATTTAATTGGAACAAGCAGTGTTTAAATGTGATTTATAAATAAATCTAACACAAAGATAATAATTTAATGATTAAGCTTCAACTTTTAATTTGCTGGCAAAGTCTGAAGACACTGCATGTATGGCAGGATGAATTGCATTTAAACATGAATTAAAGTAATTTATTACATCTACTCAATTGTGTGTAATTAAGTATTTTATATATATATATATGTGTGTGTGTGTGTTGTAGTGGACTAGGCCTCCGATCAAACCTGCCTCTGAAGACCTTCATGGGACAGGAACTGATATTTCATTGATTTGAATCCAGAAATACAAATTAGCTCATCCAGAGACTTTCTAATTGTATCCTGAACTAATCAATTGAAAGAACACTCTCTTTTTATATTATCATTACTATGTTACAATGTCTTGATAATCAAAAGTGTGTTTAGTTCATACCATTTCTAAATGTTGAAGTGAACCACTCATTTTAAATCAACTGTGAAACAGTATTAATGATTTTTTAATCCTCATTCAAAGTAGAAATCAAGTTAAATGTCTATGTTACAAAGTAATTATGCATTTTGATCTTCTGTCTGAAATGAGAAAGGAGTGATGTCGGTCAAAAGTCGGAGACAGTCAAGAAGCAAGTTGTTGGAACGAGCTGTCGTGTTTTTAAACCTCTCAGACAGTAAATAAGAAAACTGGCACCTGTAAGTCTGTCATTTCTCCAAAATATTTTCTCTTCTGTAACTAACCGTTCTCAAAACATTCCGGCAGTTTTCTTGACTGGTAATGACCCTCTGACGTCACTAAAACTACACACCTGTTGGTTCCTTCAACCAATCAGGACTTCCTAAAAGTGACCAGAAGCAGAACTCTTTAAAAGTCGACACTTCCTAGTTCCATCAGTTGGGGGAGTTCAGTTAGTTCTGCTTGTTCTGATGGAGTTCGGCTGGAGTTCCTCGGAGTTCTTCTGAGTCTCTTGGAGTACTGTGGAGTAGTTCTGGAGTTCTGGAGTTTTTCCACTGCTGAGTGGAACTTCGGACTCAGTCTTCCAGTCTGATGGAGTCATCCATCTCTGCCGGGGTCACGACGCCTCGCTGTGGCTCCACCCGGCGAATGCCCTATAACTGCTGAGGAAGTTTGTTCTGTGGAACGGAGTATCTCACGACTTCTGCCGAGTCGCAGCCGCCCTGAGGAGACGCTGACAGGTAGTGTGCCAGGGACCTCTTGACCGCAGCTGACCCATCCTCTGCCAAGGTAAAGAGTCGTCACTGGTTTCACTACAAGTGTACCACGGCGAGCTGCGTTTGAAAGGAGCGTGTTGTCCTGGTCTACAGATATACATCTTCCTCCACATTTTCTCTACATTTAAACTCCTCCATTTTTCCCATCTTTAAACTTCAATCTTGCCAGTAATTAATCCAGATATCTTCAGAAATGTCTGTTGTTTTATTTAAGTAAAACGTGCCAAGTTTTAATAATCAGAGCCGATCAGTATAATCAAGTGTACAATGTTTTGATGTTAAATTTTGATTCTGTTAATAAATGACCACATTTATTTTGATGGGTCAAAGAAAATTAATGTCTCATGTCACTGATTAAACCATCGACAACACAGTACCTCTGTCACATATCTGTAAGTAGCTCGAAAAAGAGAGAACCCGTTATTAAAATATGACTGTAGTGGAGCTTGAAGCTAACCTAGCCTTTGAGCATACTACAGTGTGTTTAATTGCTCTCAGCTACTTTTGCCTGAACCTAACACTGTAAGTGAAGCAAGGCATTTCTTGAGTTGCTATAAATTATGCTACAATACATATTTACTCTCTCATTCCAGAAAACGTTGGTTACATACTGTAACCACAGATTCTATGAGTATAGGCGTAGCCCTTTAAGGCTGTCACTTTGTGGGTTTATCCCGATATGCGAAGCATCACACTGTAAAATTTAGTCCACGCCCACCTGCTGTGTGGGTCCCACCCGGTCCATATAAATTACGTTAAGAGCGGGTAATCGGCTCCCAAAATAGCTTTTTCTTCAGCCAATTAGGAGCCAGTGAGGCCCGACGCTTAAAGGGCTACGCCTATACTCATAGAATCTGGGGTTACAGTACGTAACCAACGTTCTATTTCGTATAGGCTTCGCCCTTTAAGGCTGTTGCTAGTGGGTTAAGGGCGAAGCGGATGTGGTCCTCGTCTCACTGGGTCCATTCGAACACCGTATGAAGCAGAAGCTTGCCCAAAAAACGTCTTGTCACTCAGCTCACCATGTGCGTAATTATGCATTGCGTAATTATGTGTGCCATGCACAGACGCATGTTGTGTAACTATGCGTTCTGAATGCATGAACACCCCGGAAAATTTCAACGGGGAGGGAAAAAAGCTGAAAGAGCCATGAACCAACCGGTTTACAGCTGAACAGTATGAACAGATTAATAATAACAGGAGAACTGATTATTAATCAAATGAACTGATTGGTGACAATAGAACCAAAATAACAATCACAATTTGTGATTGATAACATCTCACACTGTAATGCATGCAGACAGATGTGAGTTAAACGGAGTTCCCTGAAACAACAATATTCATTCTGTAAACACTAAGGACAGAATGTGTCATGGGACGAACCGTCACATCACGTAGATAAAAGCGAATAAATGAGCAGGGTGTTGACCACGCGGCCACAGTGCAAATGTCCTGCATTGTTATACCATTATGCAAAGCAGTCCAAGATGCGATACCCCTGGTCGAGTGTGCTCTGAGGTTGACAGGAGGCTCTAAATCTGATGCTCTGTAGGCTTCAGAAATGGCCTCACACAGCCAGTGTGACAAGCGCTGGGTGGATAACGGGCGACCTGCAGATGCATCTATATAATGCACAAACAGATGTTGACGCATTACAGCTGTGCACGCTAT